GTCCAGCTCCATGATGGTTCCTGGTACAGATTTCTAATACTCTGCAGCTCATGAGTGAATTGTCACATATGGTTCCCACTGCGTGGTGAAGAAGGGTGTCCTGGGAAATGAGTGCTGAGAGTGTTTACTGCTTCCCATAATTTTTTTATTATTTCTCTTGCTTTTCCATTTCAAGCATATAAATTTTGCATTACTTCTGTTCAAGATTCAGAGAGGAAATAGAAGTACATGAAAAAAGTGGGGAAAAGGAAATGGAGGCTCATGAGAAATAGAATACAGACCCTAGCAAATGTAAGATAACCTCAGATAGCAACAGGAAAATGTGCTACACATGTTTTCCCAGTATCACAGAGATTTTCCATTTCCTCACCCTGGATTGCAAAATCTGACTCAACAATTAAGTAGCTATGATACTCTGTAAAAAGGAAATTAGGATATTTAATTAGTTAAATTCAACCCACATTTGTTAAACATTTGTTATATGCAAGCCAAAGCATCATGCTAGGTCTGGCGAATACAAAGAAAGATAAAACAGTCCTTGACCTCAAGAGACATCCATTTCATGAGGGGAATACTCCTGTACAGAGAAGCAAATCAAAGTAATTTTAAGAGGAAGAACACAGGATCCAGAAAGACTTTGCATAGGTTTGGCACCTGAGCTGAGCCTTACAGAAACTAAGGATTCTAATTCTGTGGTCCAATGGCAAATAAAATCACAAAAGGAGCATTCCCTTGCAGAGTAATTCTATGATGAATCTGTATGGTGAACATCGATTTAACTATAAGAAATCAAGGCAAAGGTTGCCCCCGTTACTGCTCCCTGCATTACTACTAAATCAAACTTCAGGGTAATTTGCATGACCCTACTCCTAACTGCCAAAGACATCATGAAATTTTAAAGAAATTTATTCACCATAACCCAAATTTATTCATCATAAAGCCAATGGAAAAAAAAATGACCCAAGGGACTTTTGCTATGCTGGCAGAGTATAGCTGTGGGTCTGACTCATAAAAGAGCCATAAAATCCTGAGATTGCAAAAAGATTGGTAATGACTCCTTTGAGGTTTACAATGTAGGGGTGGACCAACAGATGGTAATAGGTGATGACATCAGCAGTACTAGAAAGAAGCAGCAAGGGACAGTTCTAGAGGCCGAGAGGTGGTCCACTCCAAGTCCTAGGAGTGTGAGTTATCCATTCTACTTATGTTCCCTTTCCTGCCTTTAGGATGGGAATCTGTGAGAGAGAAAATATCAGACTAGTTACCTTGTTATTTCTAGTTACTTAAATGACATTGCTTTGATACAATGTGCCTTATGGGTTTATCTGGTAAAATAATAAAAATTAAAAGAAGAAGTCAGGTGGGAGCACATGCTTTGAACCTAATTGTTGCCTTCAGGAACTTGGGTTCTAATTCAATTCAGATTGTAAGTAATGCTGATTACATATGTATGAGATTCTGAGAAATCTCCAAAGAATAAAGAACATTAGAAGAGGATCAGATCTCAAGTAGAGAGCCCTAGGATGGGAATTAGTATAGGCAAGACTCGGCATCCAGAAGCCCTAAGGATCTGGAAGTAAGAAATATGTGTAAAAGCAGATGGTGTGAACCATGTCACATCTACTTTTGATTTGAGCATTTATTTTTATGTTTATATCACTACAACAAGATCATTCAGGATGCCTTGAAATATATTACAATAGAAAAAATCCTGATAGTTGATTCTCTGATAATTCACATCAAGTGAGGCATAAATCAGGTAAGCACATGCCGGCCAAAAATATTCACCTCTGGGATGAAGGAGAACCACCCAACAATGCTGTTCAAGGATTCCTTATGGTTGGTGAGGTCCTCCAAATGTCACTATTTGTGAATAGCATTGTGCTGTAGCCTCTGAACGTTGTTGTGCCTCCTGGAAAAGATCTCTAATTATTCAAAGGAGTCTAGCCTATCTATCCATAGAAGAAAGACCACATGGATGAAGAGGCCCTATTGGACAGATTTCAACATGCGTTCAATAGATGCCCTGTAAAATTTGTCCAACAGTGTGTATATTTGGGCAGCTAAGTGGTGCAGGGGATAGAATGCCTGGCCTAGAATTAAGAAGATTCATCTCCATGAGTTCAAATCCAGCCTCAGACACTTAATAGCTGTGTGACCCCGAGCAAGTCATTTCACCCTGGAGCTAAAGGAAAAAAAAATGACAAACCACTCTAGTATCTTTATCAAGAAAACCCCAAATGGGGTCATGAAGAGTCAGACATGACTAAAATAGCTGAACAACAATGACAACAAAATGTATATCTGGGACAGTCAGCAAATATGGAAAATAAGCTGACCATCATACCTATCAGATTGGCCAACATGACAAAACAGGAAAATGATAAATGTTGGAGAAGATGTGGGAAAATTGGAACACTACTGCATTGTTGGTAGAATTGTGAAAAGATTCAACCATTTTGGAGAACAATTTGGAACTATGCCCAAAGGGCTACAAAAATGTGCATACCCTTTAATCCAGCAATAGCACTTCTAGGGCTATATCCCAAAGAGATCAAACAAATGGGAAAAGGATCCACATGTACAAAAATATTCATAGCAGTTCTTTCTGTGGTGGCAAAGAATTGGAAATTGAGAGGGTGCCCATCAATTGGCGAATGGCTGAGCAAGTTGTGGTATATGAATGTAATGGAATACTATTGTGCTAGAAGAAATGATGAACAGGCTGACTTCAGAAAAACCTGGAAGACTTGTATGGTCTGATGCTGAGTGAAGTGAGCAGAACCAAGAGGACTTTGCACACAATAACAGTCACGTTGTGCGATGACTAATATTGTTAAACTGAACCCTTCTCAGTAGTACAAGGATCTAAGACATCCCCAGAGGCCTCATGACAGAAAATGTTATCCACATCCAAAGAAAGAACTATGGAAGTTGAATCGCTATCATTTTTTTCTCTTCTGTTGAGTTTTGTTTCCTCTTTCTGATGGTTCCTCTTACTGGTTTTAATTTTTACTTACAACTTCACTAATGTGAAAATATGTTTAATAGGAATGTAAATGTATAGCTTATATCAGATTGTGTGCCGTCTTGGGGAGGGTAGAGAGGAGGAAGGGAGAGAAAAATTTTAAACTCAAAAACATATGGAAGTGATTGTTGATAAATCAAAATAAATAAAAAGAAGAAAAATAAAAGACACAAAGTCACATCTAAAAAAAAGTTTATGGAAGTGATTGTTGATAAATCAAAATAAATTAATAAAAAAAAATAAGCTGACCTCAGAATTGAAAAGGAGAAAGAAAGTGAGTAGGATTTAGGCAGTTTGTAGGCATAATGGATCTTGTACTAGACTTGAATTCAGTAAGACCTAAGTTTGAATCCTACCTTAGATATTTTCTAGCTGCTTCAATTTGGGCAAATCATTTAACCTCTCTTAACCTCAGTTTCCTCATTTGTAAGATGTGGACAATAGCATGTTTTTCACAGGACTGTTGTGAGGATCAGATGAGATAATGCTGTTAGAGGTCTTCTAAATCATATAGATTCAGAGCTGGAAGGGATTGTGGAGGTCAAGTCCAACCCATCATTTTTCTGGGTCTGAAGGAGGTTAAAGCATCTTTCTCATGGTCACACAGCTTGTGAGTGTCCAAGGCAGGATCTGAACCACAGGCATCCTGACTCCAAGTCCCCTGGCTTAACCACTGCACCATGCTACCTCTTCATTGCCCTCTGGGAATTCTTATCTTAAAGTGCTATGTGTTAGTTATGATTAATTATAATAATTGTGATTGTTAATTGTCATATTTCTGTTATTATGGGTGTGAGCAGACCCTGACACACAGCTCTGAAGAAACAAGGAATTATATGACAGGAAGAGAAGATAAATGGCATTTCCTAAGAGAGGAGGATGCTAGGTAGACAGCCAGAATGCTGCACTGGTATGCTTGGGGTCCAGAAATTTGAGGAAGGGCTCCAACACGTTGGGTGGACCCTCTATGGTGAACATATGGGAAAGAATAGACAAGAGTGGCCCGGAATGCATAGGTGATCACAGATCATCTAACTGTTTGATTTTTACACTGACAGATTCTTTGCTGAGGGAAGGGGACTTCTAGGAGGCCTTGGTTCCTTTTCTGCTGGACGAGCTTACATGTTTCTGACCCAGGCTTCAGCTAAAATAAGAATGTGCTTGACTGCTAAATAGGGCACAGTCTGTTTTCAGGAAGGGGTCAGATTCTTTGTGCCCAGGGCTGTTCCATACTTGGAATCTCAGTCTCTATGACTATGACATGGGGCCCATTAGGGAGGGAAGGCCCAAGGCAACAGGAGGACCTATAAGGAGAAAGATCCCAGGCCAGGCCTCAAAGACTTCAGGTGAGGGAGTGAGTTACCAGGAATTCCTCTCCAACCCGAGGCAAAAAGGGGGATATTTTTTTCTTTTAAAAAGGCAAATCTCTGGGTTCTGGCTTCTCTGATAAACTCTGGAAAAAGTTTTCTTTTTTAAAGAGTATCTGGCTTATAGTTCGTTCTAGCATGGCCGATTCCTAATAAGGACATGTTGGAAATTCCTATTGACAGAGAGCATTACACATGGGAGCATTTCTTTCAGGAATTTGGTCAATTTTTTGGTAAAATTAATAACGTAATTTAATATAATAATAATTGTTAACATCCATGCAGTGTTTACTACATGCCAGGCATGGTGCTAAGCATTTTACAGTTATTTCATTTGATCCTAACAACTCAGGCAGGTAAGTGCTATTATCTCCATTTTACAGATGAGTAAACTAAGGCAAACAGAGGCTGAATGACTTGTGTGGAGTCACACAGTTGGTAAGTGTCTGAGACGAAATTTGAATTCGGGTCTTCCAGGTCCAGCATCCTATTCCTTGTGCTACCTAGCTGCCTATATAAAACAACAACATAATAATATAATCAATGTAATAATTTAATGAGATAAACTTGTGATAACTACAACAGGTTTGAAATTTACAGGGATGGCAAGTGCAGTCATAGGAAAGTAGATCGATATACGCTATCCAAAAGAAATGGCAGCACTGGTTTGATTATGGTTCAAGAACTGTAGGATAATTTTTTTTTAATGCATGAATAGATGAGATCAGGGGAAGACAAGATCAGTATTTCCCAAATGCTGACAATTTGTGAAGCTCCCTTATCCCTATTCAAATCATCACATTGTTGATGTCATCTGCATGTGCTGTCCATGCCTGAAGACTCAGCCTAAGCAAGAACTCATTTATTGATTGAGCCTTAAAGCCTGCATCCATTTCTCACAAAGCCGTCCCTTTGTTGTAGAAAACCAGTTCTGTTCAGTGGGAGCAGGGTTCAGCTGAAAATAAATTGAGCTTTCTTACTTGATTTCATCTTTATACTCTCTATTTCTTTGCCAAGTTAATCAAATTATTTCCATATGAAAAAATTTTGGAAAAACTCAAGCTTCACTGGCCTTCAAGATACCTTTGTTTGAAGTAAATAACTATGAAAGAATTCACTTCTCCTGAAACAACTTGCAATTTATTAAACAGAGTAGCAGTATCTGCATATTCAAATTCCAGCACTGACTTTTCTGAATGGATTTGTGTATGATTAGCTTTCCCAAACCCAGCTATTAAAATGTGAGTATTATACGTGAAATGTTTATTATTTGTAGAGGCTAGTTTTACATACTGTGATACTCTGTATTCTCCATATAAATATCTGCCTACATGAACCATTTGGGTGTATAAAATGAAACTACCTGAACGCATTAAAAAAAAATTAGAGCAAAACCTGAAAGTGTCTATAAAAAGAAATTCATTAGAGATTTCAAAATATCCGTAAGTGCTAAATAAGCTTTCCAGAAATCAGTGATTACACTGCAAACGTGTCACAAGGGGAACTGTTAACAAGTGTGACTTTGCCAGTGGTCGGAAGGCTGCCAACACTTAATTGGCTTTAAAGTTGGTGTGCTATCAATGGTTCATTGTGTCTCAAAGGCAATAATGCCAACATTTATGATTTAGGCCTTAAATGGGGACAAAGATATGCCTAACTGAGGCACAGGGTTTGGCTGCTTCCAGCTCACCATCCCCCTGGCTGGCAGTGCAATTTTCCTTTGATAAACCTGGAATCTTATCAGCACAGACACCCCTCAGGTGATACAGATCATGGCCCATTTGTGAGTGCCCATCTTGGCAACTCTGCTTTCATGGAACTGCAGGATTTCAGAGATGGAAGGGAGGGAGGGGCTCTGCAGACAGTGAGCATTGGAGGTCTGCAAGCACAGTGCGAGCAGCTACTTGTCAGGGGTGTTACGGGGGCATTTCTGTTGTGTAGGCACTGGACTAGATGGTCACGGAGGGCCCTTCTAATAATCAAAGTCTGTGATTCCATAGGAATTCAGAGGTCAGTTAATCCAACCCATTTCTGAAAAAGAATCCTTCTACAACATGCCAGACAATATAAGCTCCTTGAGGGCAAAGAAGGCTTGATTTCTGGTTTTATATTTATTAAGAGCCTACTATGCCCCCATCTGGCACACAGTAGGCACTTAATAACTGCTTGTTGAATTTAACTGAAATTGAGAAGTGATCATTCGGCCTGTGGTTGAAGACTTCAAAGGAGGGAGAACCCATTACCTCCTGACCAAGCAGATTCCCCTTCCTAGCCTCCCTTTGTTAGGAAGTCTTTTCTGACAAGCCTAAATTTGATGATCTGCAACTTTCACTCACTGCTCCTAGCTCTGCCAGGTCAGGAGGAACATATACGATCCCTCTTCTACATCACAGCTATAACGAGCCCCTCAAAAGCTTCCTCTTCTTCAAGCTCAACACCCCCATTTCCTTGAACAAATCTTCATATGGTATTGAATTAAGGCCATTCCAATTTTCCTCCTACATATCCTTCACAGGGGTCCACTCCATGCTAGGGGGAAGGGCAGGGAGGACACTTCCTTCCTCTGGCTCTCTTGATGTCATATAGCTTTCAACAGAGTGAACTAGCTGTCCATCGGTTATCCCCCACTCTTGACTCAAGACTGACCCATTGTTTTTTCTGGTCTTATATCTCTGATCAAATGAATGAACATATGTAAAGCACTTTGTAAATCTTAAAGCGCCTTATAAATCTGCACTATTATGATAGCAATGATGCCATCTTTTTATGCTGTCTCTCTTACACATGCTACCCACCCCACACATGCCCTATTCACCCCTTCCCACCACTCTGTGAGTAACCAACAGCTATTAGACACTGTGATATCCTGACATGGCAATACAGCATCCCCGGAAGATCATTCATGTTGAAAAGATTCATCTTGGATTCAAGAAGAATCTGGGGGCCCTGAAAAGCACTGCATAATTTCCTTAAGGCAGACTTCTTTCCTCCTCCTGTTTAAGACTTTTTTTTTTTGGCTAGGCAATGGGGTTAAGTGACTTGCCCAGGGCCATACAGCTAATGAATGTCAAGTGTCTGAGGCTGGATTTGAACTCAGGTCCTCCCGACTCCAGGGCCAGTGCTCTATTCACTGCGCCTTCTAGCTGTTTAAGTCTGGCCCACTATCCCACTCTTCGTGACCCAATTTGGGGTTTTCTTGGCAAAGATATGGAGTGATTTGTCATTTCCTTCTCCAGCTCATTTGACAGATGAGGAAATTGAGGCAAACAGGGTGAAGCGACTTGCTCAGAGTTATATAGCTAGTAAGTATCTGAGGCTGGATTTGAACTCAGGTCCTCCTGCCTCCAAGCCTGGCACTCTGTCTGCCTGGCACAAAATAGGTGCCTACAAAATGCTTCCTGGTTTGTTGGTGGTTGTTGGCTTGACATTTATACAATCCTCTCTAGATGTCAAGCCCTGGGTTAGGCACGAGGGATAAAGACACAAGAAATAAATCAGTCCCTAATTCTTATAGGGGATAATTTTACTGAGGGGATACCTCATGCATACAGACGTATAAGTTCAAGGTGGTGGGCAGAGAGAGAATAGTAACTGCTATGGGAATCAGGGATGGCTTCTTGGAGGAGGTAGCACCAGCCCTAAGCCTTGAGAAAAGGCCTGAGCAAAGGCTTATGCAAATGCGTGAGACAGAACTGAGTTGCAGTCATGGAACAAGGCTGCTCCAGTTTGTCTGGAACATCAGTGTACATGGGGGGAACAAGAGGAGATAAGCCTGGAAAGGCTGGCCAAGGCCAGATTGTGAAGCGCCACAGGGGAACCTGCATGTTATCCAAGAGGCAATGGGGAGCCACTGGGTTTGATTCCTGACTCTGGGAGACCTTGCAAAGCCTCACCTTCCTCATCTGTAAAAGGAGGGGGGATGACTGGCTGACCTGTACACCCCTCCCCCCAAGCTCTAAAACCCCAATCCAGGAGGGGGAAGTGGCTTACCGAAGGTGACTCTGCTAGGAAGTCGATGGGCCAGGACTGGAACCAAGGTCTTGCACTTCCTAAGCTGGCCCTCTTCCCATTATGCCACACTGCCTCTTGTTCATCAGGAGAGCCCACCTAGCCTCATCTCTAAACCCCACCATCATCCTCACCAGGAAAAAATAAACAAGGGGGAGAATTTCTTATGTTGGGAACTGATTTGAGAGTCAGGAGGTGTGGGTTCTATCCCTGGTCCGTTACCTGATATCTAAGCCCCAATTCAAGACCTTGACCAGGCCTCCCCTTGGATCCCTCGCTTCATCTAATCTACAACATGGAGGATGAGAACACTGGGTCTGGATCTTGGCTCTGTGGCTGACCACCTGCTCGAATTTGGGCCGGCCACTCGACCTTGGCAGGTCTCTGTTTCACCTGAAAAATACAGGCCGAGATGAAGATGACACTGAAGGTCTGTTTCAATTCTAAATTCTTCTTCGTCATAATGGACAGAGTGCTGGGCTTTACCTTGGAATCTCTACTTCACAATCAACCCTTAAGGAGGAAGCACTGTGGCTTTGTGGATGGGGAGTTGGCCTCTGTGGAAGACCTGGGTTCAAGGCCTGCCGTCTGACCCTGGGTGAATCATTTAGCTTCTCAGTACCCCAGGCAGCTCTCTGAGACTATGTGAGCAGCACTGGTAGAGTGGGCTTTCTCACAGGGAGTTCCCTAGACTGCTGAAATTCCAGGCCCAGACTAAATCTGGAATTGGTACAACGTATAAAGAGGGCGCTAGATTTAAAGACAGGAAGATCCGGGCTCAAATCTTCCACTCCTATCAGCTGGGTGACCAAGTAACTTACTGTACTTCAGTTTCCTCATCTGTAGAATGTTGACAATAATACCTGTGGTAGCTTCCCCTCCGAGGGCCATCCCAGGGTTCACATCTTCCCAGAGCTGTGTGTAAGCAAAGTTGCAAGCTTTAAAGTGCTGTGTTATGGTAAGTTATTATTGTTATTGTTTTACAAAAATGCTCACCTTTCTGGTGGAATTCACCTAGAAACAGTCTTGTTATGTGATTATTACCTCAATCTTCTCATCTTTTCAAAGGAAGTTCAGATAGAGATGGTTCTGGGCCAAGTCACTATCCTGCTACTATTCTTTTTACATTTCCATTTACAAATTATGGCACAGGTGAACAAAATAACTGAGTTTTTGGGTAGGTGATTAAAAGTAGTAGCCTGTCAGCCCAACCCTCTGTAGGTTCACTGAGAGCATCCATGGTTCAACTCCCATAGAAGATAGGATAATGGCAATAGTATGTACCTCATCCTGTTCTCACATCATGATTTCTTCTAACATTCTGAAAACTTTTTATTCCATGTGTGTGGAGGTTGTATTTGCCATGGCAACAGTTATTTGAAATACACATTTTATGAATCAATGTTAGACCTGAGCAATTGCAGATACCAATCCAGGCAGTGATAATAATGGTCCAGTTCCAGAACTCTGGGGTTCTCAAAGCTATTTTGAGGTCAGTATTTCTAGCCAGGGGATTTGTCATCTCTCAGTCCATGAAAGACAGAGAGGTTATGATAGTAATTATTATCATAATTATATTAGAAACATTTGTCTCCCTTTTAAGCTTAGAAGCTCCTCTGGCTGGCTATAACTCTCCTGGAAAGTCCTGCGCAGGGAATCACAGAAGAGACCCCAGACTCCCAGCCAGGCTCCCTACTGGCAATGCAGGACGGAGTGAGACAGATGCTGGCTAGTCAGCTGCGCTTGGAGACTGGCCTGCTGGTATCACTTCAGACACAAATGCAGTAAATGATGGACTGCATGTGACAGGAACTCAAGGCAGCAGAAAGAAACGCAAGATTCTTGAACCGGAATTGAGGAGATCTGGGGCCTAGTTCTGGCTTCATTCCTATCCTGTTTATGCCTCTGAAAGGAAAGGTTTGGACTACTTGGGCTTTGAAGCTGCTTCTGGCTTTGGGGTTCTATTAATCTGGTACTGGACAGAACGAGGGCATGAGAGGTTCTCCTTGAAGGAGGCCGTGGTGAACAGGTGCCGGTGGCTTATGGGGATTCACGTGGGCTGGACACCAGCAGAGGTGCCGGGGGCCTTCCAGGCTCTGCCAGTGACACTGCTGTCATGAGGGCTGCATTCCCCTAACGTACACACCTGGGCGTTACCGGCGGCTCTGGCACGTCCTGCAGACTCCTTGGCAGCGCCCTCCTACCCAGCGGCTCCCCAGGAAAAAAAGCACCCCTCCCCGACGTGTCACTTAATCACTCACTGTGTATGAGGTGATGTTGACTGGGCAACTGCCACGTCTCCCTCACCTTCTGTGGGATGTCGTAGTGGCTGTACTCTGGGATTAGCCACAAATTGGCGGCCAGGGCCCTGTATAGATGCTGCAGGATTACACAGCATCTCTGCTAGAATACTTAAGGAGGGAAGAATTCCTTCCCTTTGCCTAAATGAGTTCACATTGCCTGTTCCACTCGATCTCCCTCACCCCCCCAAAACATGAGCATTCATATTTGTAAGCATTTTAAGAGAGAAATTTAAATGGAAGACACCACATTGCTACAAAACATTGGATTAAATGTTTCAGCTTCTTTTTTAACATTTAAAAAGTAGATATTTTCCCAATGTATCCCCCTCCCATCCCTTCTCAGAGAGTCATCCCTTTTGAAAAAGAATAAAAAAGCAGGAAAAAGGCAGTTCAGCTAATTTAACTGACATATCAGCCAGGTCAGACATTGTATTCAGGGTTTCACACCCAGAGTCCCTCACTTCCTCAGAAAAGACAGGGAGATGCATTCCCACCTCTCTCCCCTGGGACTCTGGTTATTAGCTATGATTATGGTGTGGTTATTATTATACGTTTTTATTCTCATATGGTTATTGTGCTCCTCGCTCATTGTCATTTCATAGCATTTCGTTTTGGTCCTTTGATCGCTGTTCCTTCTGGTCACATTGGACTGATCTTATTTCACGTGTGTTGGCCTGTGCTTCTCTGTGTAATGAGTATGCTCTGGTCTGCTCTCCAAGAACCAGATGGGCTGTGTCAGGCTTCCAGGATACCCTGAGGAGTGGGGGTGTTCTTTTCTCTGCCATCAACCCCTGCTGGCTCTGTTCTGCCCCCTGCCCATTGTTAGGGGCCTGTGACCACTTACAACTGAGTTGGCTAGACCCATGGGCTAGGCCCATGCTCCAGTTTCTCCAAGGTACGTCCCTTATAAGTCCTCATGATTCTTCCAGTATCCATCTCCCCAGAGTCCTCCCCATGGAAAGGCTGTATCAGCCAAGCCAGCTGATGGGGTCTGTGCATGCCTCCTATCCCCATTACATCAATATCCTTCATAGTCATCACTTCTTATCTGTAGCAATAGTCTTTTACGGTCATGTATGTCAACTTGCTTAACTATTATCCTTCAGTCAATGGGCATCTACTTTGCTACCAAGTCTTTGGCAGTCAACATTTATTAAGTACTTAATATGTGCTTCTGGGGGGCAGCTAGGTGGCACAGTCGATAGAGCGCTGGACTTGGAATCAGGAAGACTCATCTTCCTGGGTTCAAATCTGGCCTCAGACACTTAGTAGCTATGTGACCTTGGGCAAGTCACTTACCCTTGTTTGCCTCAGATTCCTCATCTGTAAAATGAATTGGAGAAGAAAATGGCCAACCACTCCAATGTTTTTACCAAGAAAATCTCAAATGGGGTCATGAAGACTAGGATGCCATTGAACAACAAAAACATGCCTCTCCAGAAAGTATGGTCATAAATATTTTGGTGCATATGGGACCTCTCTTTTTGTCACTGGGGTGTTGCTCAGCAGTGAGATCCTTGGGTGAAGAGTATGGATGTTTTAGTCACTTACTTAGCATAATTCTGAATTGCTTTCCAGCACTGGTTGGAGCAATTCTTAGCTCTACCAGAAGTGTATGAGTATACCTGTCTCTCCAAGTCTCTACCAGTCTTGTCTCCATCTTGTACCATTTCTGCCAATTTGCTCAGAGTTATCTCGATTTAAATTTCTCATATAATTAGTGATTTGGAATGGTTTTTCATATGGTTATTGATCATTCTCTTCTTCTGAAAACTAAGTGTCCATATACTTTGACCACTTCTCTGTCGGGGAATGACACTCATCATTATTCAGATCTGAGGCTTAGGTTTCCCGGAACACTTGCTGATGTGCATACTACCAGCATTTCTGTAAGGAATATGGTAGCCTCCCCAATGAGCTAAATGAAGTACTCCCCAAGGAGGCTTAAAACCTCTGCATTGCCCTGTCAGAACAAGACCTTTAGTAATGACTGAAGCCTCCTCAAGTCATCTGCCATTTTCTTAGCATTGCTCATAGGAAAATACATTCTACAAACAGAGGCCATTGTTTACTAGTTTCTGAGCCAACTCTAAAAGCATCAGTTCATCATTCCTTGGTATTTTTTCATCACACATTCAAAAAAACATGTTCCTATGTTCCAACTGTGTTATAGTTGGAAAAAATCTGAGGTTCACATTAAAAATAAATTATTAAATGTGTTAATTACAATTTCCAGTTGTAAAATATGAAATTGTGTGTGAGACGATGGCCTATTTATTAAATTCAAGTTTTACACATGCAGTGGAGAAAGATGTGACGTTTGCGTTTATGATTTCTCTTTGAGTAGTTCGTTGTGGCTACATTCCAGCCTTTGGAATAGAACACCATTATTATTTTTCCACCATAAACAAAGTGTGCATTTAGCTCTCCAGAACTCCTGAAATTGTTGCTTTATTTTTAACACCTGTGTTCTGAAAGCTGAGGCTTTATGAACTATCTCATTAATCCTCCCAACACTCCTGTGGGCATTGCTAACAGCACTGTCAGCTATAACCTTCCCCCATATGCAGGAAGAGCAAGGTTCTCTTCAGAGAATGCAAAGATGTCCTGGGTATCCTTGGGCACGGAGTGCTAGCCTTTAATTTTTGCAGGCTAAGTGATAGCATATATTTCCTAGGTCATTTTCCCTCCCTTTGCTAATACTTGGTTCGCAGTATTTCTATCTTCTTCAGTTCCTGCCCTTACACCTAGAGGACTTAGCATACCTGTTCCTTCAAGCACCCTTATTACACAGTTCTTCAATATCCTTGACTTGCATGACCTATTTAGACCTTGGCCACACGTGAGGATTCCAGTCACGGCCTTGATCTTGCTTTCACTCACAAGTGTTCCAATTCCATGATGAGGAACTGTCAAAGTACTCTCTCTGACCCAAACCTCCTAGCTCTCTTCACTGCCCCTAAAGCAATTCTTCCATTTCATCAAAAGATAGCTTCTACTCATAAGTATTTCCCAGAACATTTTCTTCCTTATTCTGGCTTTGACTTGCTGTGGTTTTACCACCTCTTTCCCAATTTTGATCCTCTACTTAACCAGTTTAACTCAACGTTATCCTCTATTTTCAAATCCCTTAGTCTCCTGTTCTATTAATGTTCATGCCTTGCCAGTCTCCAAACCTAGATTATCCGCCTCCTCTGCTTCCACTCACTTGCTGCTGAACAGATCTGGAGGTAGTCACTCAAATGTATTGATTAGGTCCATTGTAAATTTATGTCATGTAATCTCAAGGGGACCCTCACTACAGCCAAGGCAATCCTTTTACTCCTCCCTGATTCTCAAACCCACTCACCATAGATGCTGTTCCTAGACTTGTCTCTCCTTAAATCTGTCATACCATCCCCTCTCCCTCTCAGCTGAAAGCCTCACCTAATATTTTAATAAGAGAACAGGCTACTCCCTGTGAGCCCCCTCCTCTCTCTCTCTCTCTCTCTCTCTCTCTCTCTCTCTCATTATCCCCCTTCTCCTTCTTTGCTGTAAGCTCTGACAAAGAGGAGGCTCTTGTCCTTGCCAGTAGACAATATATGTTTACATATATTGTTGAACTCACCCTTTTTCGTCTTCCCCAGTAGATTGAACCCACAATCATCCTTACCCTTCTCTCTAACCTTCAATTTTCCCCTTTCTCCTGGTTCTAGGCAGCCAAGCCTGCCCTATCATTAGTAAGCTTTCAATGGACTCTACCAACCCCCCAAGCTATCACTCTCTATCTCTTTTCCCTTCTTCAGGTGAAACCAGAGACAACTGTCTACACAGCTTGTCTCTCCCTTTTCTCCTCTAACTCAACTCTCCACCAGTTACACTCTGACTTTCTACCTCACCATTGAACTGAAAATGCTCTCTAAAGTTACTGACAATCTCTTAATTGGCTCTCAGCCTTCTTACCCTTCTGCTGAATTTGCCAGTGGTGACTATGCTGTGCTGGATTCTCTCTCTTCTCTGGCTTTCATGATAGTGCTTTCTCTCGGTTCTCCTCCTACCTGTATGGCCACTCCTTCTTTGATCCAGAACTTAGATCTCAACTAGATCCATATCATGGCTCCTAACTGTGGGTGTCTCCCAATACTCCATCCTGGGTCCTCTCGTCTTGTTTCTCTACACTTTCTTCCTGGTGACCTCATCAGTTCCCACGTGTGTAATAATGACTGTTAGGCAGACAACTCACAGTTTCATATATCTAGCTTTAGTTTCTCTCTTGGGTTTCACACTCATCTCACCAACTGACTATTAGATATTTCAAACTGGATTTCCCAGAGAAATGTCAAACTCGACTTGTCCAAAACAGGACTCATTATCTATTACTCCAAACTTCCCACTCTTCAGAACTTCCTTTTACTGTCAAGATTATCACCATCCTTCCACTCCTCTAGATATGAAATTTTGCAGTCATCCCTTACTCCTCTCTCTCCTTTACGCCACATAGCCATACTGTCAAATCTTATCCATTCTACCTCCACAGCATTTCAAGTGTCCATTCCCTTCCACTGTCCTGGTTCAGGCCCTTATCACCTCTTGCATAGACTTTTTTTTTTTGGCATAGACTATTGCAATAGCCACATAATTGGTCTTCCTAACTTGTCTCTCCCCATTTCAATTGGCTGTCCACACTCGATTAACCAATCAAACATTTATCAAAGGCCCACTATGTATTGTGTACTGGAGATACAAATATAAAGAAAGAATATGTATTCTCAAGGACTCATATTCTAATGGGGGAGACAAGAAGTACAAATATGAGTAAACATAGAATAAATGTAAAAAGAATAAATACACAGAAATACAAAGTACTTAAAATATAAATACGCAGAAATACAAAGTATTTAAATATAAGGCAGTTAACGATGGAGGACAGTAGTTCTCAGGGGATTAAGAAAAGTTTCACATAGAATGGGGTACTTGAGCTGTGTCTTGAAGGAGATTCCATGAGGATGAAGTAGATTCCAGGGTGTAAGACAGTCTGTGCAAAGACACAGAGACAGAAAACATAGTCCAGTGTGTTAGGAATAGGGAGAAGGCCAGTTTGGCTAAGGTGTAGAATATTGTTTGGGGACCACATTGGGGACAGATTGTAAAGGGCTCTAAAAGCTAAACTGAGGCTGGACATGGTGGTGCACACCTATAATTTGTACTTCTGGGGAGGCTGGTGGCTTGCTTGAGCTTGAGAGTTTTGAGTTGCTGTAGGGTAAATGCCACTGGGTATCTATTAAATCTGTTACCAATATGGCAAGCCCTTGAGAACAGAAGGTACTAGGTTGCCTAAAGAAAAGCAAACAAACCCAGGTCAGCAACATAGCAGGTTGAAGCTTCTGTGCTGATCAGAGGTAAGATTGGGTCCTTGAGTGGGGGCTACAGTTATAGCCTGGCTGAGATGGGGAGACCTGGTCTACAAAAGAGAAGACTTAACAGAGGAGTTCATATTTTCACCTCAAGCTCACTGCAGTTGATGGAGGAGAGTGAAATGATCAAATCTGCCCTTCAGAAAAGTCATTTTGGCAGAGAAGTGGAAGATAGACGGAGGAGTTTGGGGAGGAGATTTGAGGCAGGGAAAGTAGAAGACTTTTGCAATAATTTAGGTGAGAGACGATGAAGGCCTTAGTTAAAGTAGGCCTGTGTGAGTAGAGAGAAGCTGCTTCTGGCTTTGGGGTTCTATTAATCTGGTACTGGACAGAACAAGGGCATGAGAGGTTCTCCTTGAAGGAGGCCGTGGTGAACAGGTGCCGGTGGCTTATGGGGAGATTCACGTGGGCTGGACACCAGCAGAGGTGCCAGGGGCCTTCCAGGCTCTGCCAGTGACACTGCTGTCATGAGGGCTGCATTCCCCCAAACGTACACACCCGGGCGTTACCGGCTCTGGCACGTCCTGCAGACTCCTTGGCAGCACCCTCCTATTAACCCCAGGAAAAAAAGCACCCCTTTTTTGGGAAGATAGAAATGGCAAGATCTGGCAACTAATCGGATATATGAGGTGAAGAAGAGAAAGGAATAGTTCAGAACAATAAGACTGTGAGTCTGATGGACTAGAAAAAAGGGGGTGTTTGGATTTTTAGGTTTTTTTTTAACCAGGAGTAGGGAAATTTAGAAGAGAGCTGAGCTTCAGGGAAAAGACATTGAGTTTTGCTCTGGACATGTTGTAGTTGAGATTTCTCTGGGATCCCTTGTTTGAAATGTGCAGTAGGTAATTGGTGGTATGGGACTTAAGCTCAAGGGTGACCCTAGAACTGAACGTATGGATCTGTAAGGCAGCTACATAGAGATGCTAATTAAACCATGGGAGCTGATGCTAATGTGAGGGAGAGAGAGAGAGAGAGAGAGAGAGAGACAGAGACAGAGACAGAGAGAGAGAGACAGAGAGACAGAGAGACAGAGAGAGAGAGAGAGACAGCGAGACAGAGAGAGACAGAGAGAGAGAGAGAGGATATTTATTATGGACCAGGCACTACACTAAACACTAGGGATAGAAAGAAAGGTGAAAGACAGTCCCTGCCTTCAAGGAGCTTATGGTCTAACAGGGGAAAGAGAGAGAAGGAAGAGAAGAGAAGAGGGCCCAGGATGAATCCTTAGAAAACACACGCAGTCAGGGGATGTGATACGGATGATGAGCAAGAAAAGGAAACTGAGAAGGCGTGGTCAGAGAGGCAGGAGCCAGAACAGGAGAGTAGAGCGACATGAAGACCTAGGAAGGAGGAAGGCATTCCCAAGCTTTATAACCCCCAACGGCTCCCCATGACTACTCGGATAAAAAACTCCTGATTAGAACTCGATTCCCTTCACAACGCGGCCCCAGTCTGCCTTTCCAGACTTACTCCACACTATTCCCTTTCATCTACTTGGCAGTCTCGTCAAGCTGGCCTAGTTCCTCATGCAGTATACTCCATCTCCCATCTCATGCCTTTGCTCTGACTGTCTTCTGCTCCTGGGACACTCCCCCTTCTCCTTGCTGCTTATCTGTATGCCTGGTTTCTTTTAAAGCTCAGCCTGAGGGGCAGCTAGGTGGATAGAGCACCAGCCCTGGAGTCAGGAGGACCTGAGTTCAAATCCAGCCTCAGATATATAACACTTACTAGCTGTGCAACCCTGGGCAAGCTGCTTAACCCCATTGCCTAGCAAAAAAAAAAAAAAGGATAAAGCTCAGCCTGAGGACAGTCTTCTGCATGAAGACTTGCCTAGTCTCCTGAGCACCAGTCCTTTATTACCAAACATCATCTTGCATTTTTGGTATATTTTGATCTAGGTATTACCTAGATACATGAAATGTCTATACCCTGCACCTCTTACACGGGCAAGTGAATACATACTCACTTTCTGAGCTAACTTACTCATTCCAACCTGCCCTCACATTGACACATCTAGGTTGCCAAAGGAGTCAAGAAACCAGAAGCTAGGGGCAGCTAAGTGGCGCAGTGGATAGAGCACCGGCCCTGAAGTCAGGAGGACCTGAGTTCAAATCTGGCCTCAAACCAAACACTTGACACTTACTAGCTGTGTGACCCTGGGCACAATTGCCTAAAAAAAACACCAAAAAACAAGAAACCAGAAGCTATAAAGCTAGCTTGAGTCCCCATGACGTGCTTTCATTTACACAACCAGCTACTCACAATGATGACACTTTTAGATATTGAACCTAACCACTTATGGCAATAAGACAAAAGAAATAATAACACTACAAGTGCTTATTTATTAAAGCCAATGCAGGAATGATGAATATATTACAATCCATATAAACCTAGGTCACATCCTTCCACTAATGCATCCAGTATCCATGTGAAGAGCAGGAACAGGCTAGAGAAATCTGGCAGGGAAGCATATGAAGAAGGAAGGATAACTTACAACTCTGGACTGAAAAGTGTGGTATCATAGGACCACTTCTCTGCTAGCTGTTTGCCTGCTGGTCCTCACCGCTCTCCAGTTGGACCAATATGATTCTTTTCTTGAACCAAAGAAACATTTATAAGTTCTTTCAGCTTACAATCAGCCTTAAAAGGGTGTTGGAAAAATGCTATATTATTTAACTAGTAAATGGTTCTCTTGAAGGCAGAGAACAGTCAAATTCATCAGGCTTGTTATCTCTAGGCCAGCCAGAGGTGAAGTGACTTGCCCACAGTAACCAGTACTCAAAGGGTTCTGGGAGCTCATTTATGGGAATAGTTCTCTAATGATGCTGACTGCCATTCATCCTTGCCTGTCCATCCCTGTTACTCTTGTCCATGTGCTACCATAAATCTTTCAGCAGGGACCTTGCTACGTGCTCTACTGGGTTCTCCCCTCAGTTGTTCTTGAAGTGATTTGGCTACCAGGAGTGCATGGGGCTGGCCATGGTCACACAGCTAGGAAACATCAACACTGAGAACTGAGCCCAGAGCTTTGCATGGCGGTATTTTAGAATGCATGAAGGGAGTTTTTGTGTCTCCCTTTCTTCAGGTTGACCAGATCCAGTTAGTTGATTGGTTATTTTCCTTCACTCTCGAAGAAGACCAAAATGACATCACTTTGATAGAGTCAAGTTACGGGGTGTCTGACTGTGGCTGATCAGACCAATCCAAGCCCAGACCCTCTACCACAGTGCAGGCACAAATAGTCCGTGTGAACATTTGGGGTGGATTCTCTAAATTTGCGCATCCCGTGTTTCTTTTGAGCTACTTCAATTCTGCTTTGCTCTTACAGCATAGCACCTTTTCTGATGAGGGCATGCCGTGCTGGGTGGTCCTGTACCAGTGTCTCTCGGGTTGTGCAATCAATTCCAAAGTTCCTAAGAGAGACCTTGAGAATGCCCTGTTATTGAAAGCAGTGTGGTTTAGTAGAAAGAGTGTTAGCTTCGGAGTCTTTGCTACAAGGATTGTGTTTTTCATTTTTTCATTAGAGGCCTGCATTTGGGGAGAGAGGGAAGCTAGTGACAGTGTTGCCCCTTCCCCCCCAAAAAAAGAGAAAGAAAGAAAGAAAGAAAGAAAGAAAGAAAGAAAGAAGAAAGAAAGAAAGAAAGAAAGAAAGAAAGAAAGAAAGAAAGAAAAGAGTCATTGGAGCACTTTAAAATGCACAAAAGAGAACAGGAGGAAGTTCCAAAGGAAACAAAGATGAGT